GGAAATAGATTTTGAAGGAAACTTGACAGTAATTTTTAGACTTTGGATTATTTTGAGGTTTATGACTAATTTTTCTGTGTAGTACGAATAACTACATGACAACTATTTCTTTCTGATTAAAATGAAGTTGGTGAAAGTAGAGATGTGGTTGTATCATGAATAATTTAGCCAAGTCTAGCAAAAAAAGAGAGACTTAAAATTACAATTATATTGATATAAATGATACTGTTAGACATTTTTATAGTGGCCCTTTCAAAAAAAGTACTGATTTTAGAACAAAATAGAGGAACATAAGCTTTGCTTTCAGACAATGAATGGAATCAGCTGACTAATCTTACTCCTTTTATATGAATATTTTTTCACTCTAAGAATCTGTATGTGTGATAGATTTGTTGTTGAAATATTTTTACAGAGAATTTCAATTTCTAGTCATCGTTTTAGGTTCTCATGGCTTCTATATCAGTGAATGTCATCCTTTAAGCCATCTGATCCCACTGAAGAAAACTAATTTTTTAAGTGCCATCTCCTATATTTTGTACCAAAAGACTGTTTTTCTTTTCTTATGTGGACTCTCTTTCAAGGAGAAATATGAATTGCTTTTTATTAAGAAAAGGAAAAAAAGTATGCAGTGGTGAATTGGCAAGTATGTTTTCCTTTAAAAAATTATAAAGGGAGGGAGGGAGAGAAATTTCTGAATAAGATTGTCTGGACAAAAAAATCCAGCTTCATTAACTGTGGCTTGAGTGACCATTAAAGTGATGATACGAAATAGAGAAACTGAAAAAGGAAAGGAGCAACTTACTATGGCTGGCAGGTAACTGAAGCAGATGGGAATACTGTGTCTGTATTGTTTTGCTGCAATGTAGTTCTGAAACGATGATAGTACGGGATGAATCAAATATTTTAAGTCATAGTGGTGAAGTAGTCTGAGAAGCTTTGTAAAGAACTGCTGTATTTTGCTAACATTTGTATAGCAGAGCTCCCCCTATCAATTAGGTGGTTTAGGACTACTTAGCTTGATTGGTATTGGCCTAGTTGAAAAATAAGTACTGATTTCCAAGGAGATATTACAAAACACTTAAACTATTTTCTGCTGATATTTGCTCCCATTCTAACTCTTGAAGGTTGGTTTTGGGGGTTTTTAAACGCTTTATTCCTCTTTCGTAACAGTCTTTCTGCAATGTGTTCTTGAGTTGTATTAAAACCTATCATCATGAAAATATTTTTGATATAATCAGATTTAAACTTACATTAAACTCTATTCTGACTTATTCTGCAAGTTGGTTTGACACTTTGGCACTGAAAACACACTTACATACAGTTAACAAAACTAAATGTCTCTTAATCACATGGGTAATGTACTGCTTGGAAATAGCCGTAGTTGAGGGCGGCATAATACAAATGTATGGAATTGGATTGCTGAGCCCTGTAAACTTACATAACTCCATTAGAGCCAGCAATGCAAGTGTAGGACAGCTGAGCATTTCTCTTGGAAACAGATGTTATGTAGTAGCCAAGTGGGGGATTACATGCCAGGTCATACAAAGCAGTAGTGGTGATGTCTCCCCTGTAGCCAAGTCCTGTATTATTTGGCTTATAGTAAAGGGGCGAGCTTTACATGTATCCAGCTGCTTCTCATCTTCATGTCAAGACCTTAAAGTCTACTTTTTCCTCCTGTAAAAACAGTTTTGGTTCCAGATTGTACAGATAATTCTGGGATGTTTTACTCCTGAAAATTAGGTAAATTGAATCTGGCCAGTAGGCCACCCATCTGCAGCATTCTTTAATGGGCATCTTAGACATTACTTCTAGTCAGTGGCTAATGTTCAACTGAATATCCAACCCATGTCTCATAGTCCTATGCTATTATCTTCAAATAGCTTTTCTCATTTAATCTGTATTTTCTATTTGTGTGACATCACATCTTGCTTTGCACCTGAGTTTTTACCTCAACTGAAGATATTCTGAAGGTTGTATTGTACTGGAGGAGTGCAGCATTGTTTCTGTCTGTCATGCCTTAGCCAGGCCATGACTTTTTTAAAATGAACTTGTATTTCATCAGTGTTTAAACTGTTTGCTTGTTTTCTAAGTAACTTTGCTATGAAAATCCTGAAAACTGAATTAAAATAGTTTTCAGGATATAGGCCCTGCACGTTGTATCTCATTATTTGTTCTCCTTTTTTTCTGCTCTTCTGTCTTCTCTCTGTCTTAACAGGAGTAACAACTTCACCTGTTCCCCAAACTGACAATCTAAATTGCATATTGGCAAGTAATTTTTCCTCTTTTTCCCTTCCATCAAACATCAAGTGCCTTCCATAATTACTGCCTTGTTTTCTGGAAAGGAAAAGCTAGATAGGGCTCCTATTTTTTTTTTAATTATATTTTGATAAATATTTGTAAGTGTTATCTGCCCTTATTTCCTCTCTTTTCTTCCTCAGAAACCTGGGTACAGGTTTGTTTTTGGTTTGGTTTTTTTTTTTTTTTTTTTTTTTCTGGCATGCCTTAACTCGTCACTGGTACAAATTCCTTTGCTCCATTATAATTTGTTGGGGTGAGGAAAATACTCCACTTCTCTTCCGCAGCATGTCCAAGGATACCCAGATAAGAAAACAAATGAAATTTCTACTAACCACAGCAGGATGCTTTCTGTTCTGCAGTGGGCCCCACACATCCAGTCAAAGACCTCGGTCTACTGAATGAAATAGTTTCCCCCAAGTATCTATTTCTGTCAGCCTTGTATATGCACTAATGCCTCTGTCGAATCCCCTTTTGTCCCCCTAAGGCAGCATTCCACTGGTGCTACCCAGCCTTGGAGGCACTCAGCGGCTACAGCAGAAGGAGTAACGTAGCCCGATTGCCCACTCTGCCCATTGTAATGGGTGAACTGTTTCTCTGTTCGCTAGTGATTGCTAAAAGCATCTGGAAGGTAGCATCTTGTTGTGTCCCGGCCCAGAGACCTGAGGTTTAAACTGTTCTTGACTCCTGCCAGCAGACCACATGGCTTTTGGACTTAGGACCTCATCTTCCTGTTGTTCCTCCACATGGTGGCCTATAAAATACGATGTAGGCAATGTGCTCCTTTTGTTGAATCTTTGATTGCAGAGTGCACTACAGCTGTAGATTTACCTGCTGGCATGCTTTGATTTCTGTTACCTGGTTGGCTTGTTAATGGTTATTCCTATTCCTGGTTTCGGATGAAGTGCGTATTTCCAAGATAGGCTATTGTAACATAAAGCTCCTGATCAGCTCCCAGAAAACCTCTTATTTGTTGGCTGATACAACTCTAGGAGAAAGGAAAAAGGCAACAGTGAGTGACTGAATTGGGCACGCTGGTCATTCTGTCCCTGTGCCAAGACATGCTCTGTATTTGTTCCTCAGGTAAGGTCATCTCCTACCCCATGATTAACTGGAACGTGGCATGACTTTTTCTGATAATTAAATTTTAAGGTACAGACCCTGTAATCATTGATAAATATGCTGAGCTGTAACTGCAAGTGGATCTCTTTAGCCGGTGGGATTTTCAGGCAAATACTTTAAAAGAGTTGATATTTTGGTGTTGATCATACAAAAATAAGTACAACACAGTACTTTGTAAATCAAGTAGTTAATGTGATATTGATCTGTATGTGGCAGTTTAGAAAGTGGAAATGGGTTATCATCACTTTGGATCACAGGTACTTGAGGAGCGTGTGTTTGGGAGCCCGAGGAAAGCATCTTTAGGTGTATGTGCCCCTGTGAGGCTTTATCCCTTATGTGTGTGGTATTGAACATCAAGAAACCTGAAAGTACAAAATAAGTATTTTTTCCCCAATTTAATTATCAGCTTAGATGTTAGTGAATGGTACATGTCCTCTGATTTATCAAGTCTTCTCTTTTATAGAAAATTAAGTGTAAATGTTTAGCAAGAAGTAAAAAATGGTTGTCCTTTGTTTTCATTCAAAGGTCGAATGTTAGGTAGGAGTGCAAATCTGTTAATGTTCTATTCCTGGAAATAAATTATGCTGAACTTCATGGCATCATAATTAATTGTAAACAGAAGTCATTAGAGATTACTTTGGAAAGCTTGTTCCTGTGGTAAAAATAATTCAGTATTTGTTTTCAGAGTTTATAAAGGAATAAAGTACTAAATTTTACTTAGACATAAATTGAGCTAATGCATGAAGACTGTTGAACACTTAGAGCATATTTTCATAGTAAATTTTCTGTAGAAGTATATTTTTTGGGGAAAAAATTTCGAGTTCTTGCCGTCTGTGGATTTTATCTCAAAGGAAGACTGGTGTAGTTAGACCAGCTTTTCTGGGGAGATTGTATTAGCAAGGGACACTACTTTTACAGCTGCAGACCATATTTGTCTCTTCCCTGCTCATCATGCTGTCCCCCTAACGCACTGGCCCAAGCACTTCAGCGCTGCAGTGAACCAGATAGGCACTCGTTCTTCAGCTATCTTCCACCTTCTTTGTGATGTCTAAGCAATCCTGGCCTAAAGTTCTAGGCTTGTCTCTGTTGTGTTACCAGCAACACAAAGGACTGGATTGACAAAGCATCTGTATTTGCAGTATTTTCCATAAGGGAACAAAAGATCTTTTAATTTAAAAAAAAAAAAATCTCGAGAGAGATGGGCATGCATAGGTTTTGGGGTTGGGATTTTTTTGGTATGCGTAACATAGCTTTTTTAATGGGGGTTTAAGATTTGGCCATAACTTGGTTTTTCCCCATTAAATGCTGTCAGCAGAGTTGTCTTTTGGTTACAATTTAAGGAAAAAAAAAAAAAAAGTCCTTTAAAAAAATGCAACTTCAAAGATTATTATGCAAAAAAATCTTCAGAGCTTATCTTGTGGTGTTCAATGTCTGGCTAGCAATGCATGAGAAGGAATAAAATGCTATGTTATAATTGGCTGTCTGCTTTGTACATAGTGATGCATTTATAAGAATGTACTCTGTGATTGTGGACAGCTTTTCTGAGTGTTTTAAATAACTTTGAAGTATTTTCTTCTATAACTATTTTTTATAATGTACTAAGGAGCTGCAATCTTTCCAATAAACCTGAACTTTTTCTGGGTTTTAAAGTGATTATTTTGTCTAAAGTTGACCTTTCATTGATCATAATACCTAATTTTTAAATGCTTAAATATAACATACTTCTCATTATCTGGTTAACAGGAAGAAAAGGGGACGAATGAATGCACTACCCATTGTAATAGGAAGTATGACCATTCTGGACTATAGTAGAGGATACATTTCTACATAAAATTAATTCATAGTAGTGCCTGGAACTTTTTTGATGTTTCTTGTTGATGTTGTAGACTAAACTTTTCTGTTTGCATCCCACTGTATCTGCAGGGTGTGACCTGTCTCTAGAAAACTCTTGTTACTGTTTCCTACTATATCTTGTTGCTTTCTGCATCTAGCAGTTCTTATTTACCCACAGATAGCGAGGGTAGGTCAGGCTCATTGGTCCATGTCTTCCAGATCATTAACAGGTGATGAACGAGCAATTCCTTATTGGCACTATATTTCATCAAATAGGTGCGCAGCACCGACAAAAGTTTTGGGATATCTCTGGAGGCTCTGGTGTTTCAGACTAGGGGGTATAGGCAGCAACACCCCAGCAGTGCTGGGAGCAAGATGCTTCACCTCAACTAGCCTGAATATAGTGCCCTGACCCAGGGACCCACATGTTAAGTCTAAAATTAGGGTTTACCAGAGACATAAGGTTGATGTTTGTGTGAGATGTGTAGTAATGTGTTTTTTCTCATAGGTATCAGTTCCTGTTTCCATGTGAAATTAGAGAGAACGAACCACACGCATTATTGGAGATGTTTTCTGTGCTGCAAAATGTATTTGGCACCTAATACTAGTGTTTCGGTGAAATATACATTTTTTAATTAGAAAAACATTCCATTGTGACTAAATTGCTGGCAGGAGCAGATGACCAAAGTGCAGCTGACCATACAAGAGCTCTCCAAACCATAACATCTGGTTTGGAGTCAAAAATATTTCTCAGTCAAATAGTAAACCACTCATCTTTCAGCCACAAACAGTGTTGCATACTGATTGTTGTTCGTATTACATGTACTTCAAGACACTAAAGCTAATGCAGCAACAGACTTGCTTGACCTTACCATATATAATATAACTAAAACCTCCAGTACCCAATTATTGGCATAAAAAAGGTTATTACTGTTATTGTTAACAACAGAGTAATTCAGTCAGACCAAGGCATGTAGTATTTCAGTAGATTCTTATACAAAACAGTAACATAAAAGCCTTAATACCAGCTAATTAATTATTAATAAAAAGTAATCTCAGTATTCTTGGAGAGACTATGATGCTGTCTGTACCTCTAGAATGATATGCTAACTGAAAATACAGTAAAGCACAATTTCATTTTTTTTCCTGTCACCTGATAAGAACTGCAATGTGTATGATGCATTTAGAGTGGAGTTGGAAAAAATATGAATTACTCAAATGAGCAGTTTATGCTTCTTAGTGATATGCAGTTGTACTGAAAAAGCTACTAGAATTTGTAAAAGCATTTGTAAGCATGTTTAGGAAATGGCTCATCCTTTGATTTAAAAACAGAGAGTGTAAAACTTGTTTTACGTGCCCACATCCAACTTTTGCAACCTTACTGCCTTTCAGTTTTCTTGAGCAAGATCTATTTATTTTAGCTAGAACTTTAAATGTATTAATTTGTTCCAATGTATTTCAGTTTCTGCTTTCACTTCATTGAAATGCTGTTAGGTTGCTTTTGTTAGTACGGACTTTTTTTTCTATGTTCCTATGTTAATACAGTGCATCAAATTCTCACAGATAAAATCTAATATAGCTATTCCATTACTTTAAAAATAGAGATTTATAATAATTTGATAGAGCTGCTGCTGAAGAAAGTATGTTATGATAGAACATTGTTGCATGCATTTTATTTGATTTTTACATTTTCCATAAGACACCCATGTCCTTCATTTAGTGAAAGATTGGTGCTTATTGAGTGTGTAGCTGTTCAGTGCTTTTTGTATGGAGTAAGTGGATGATGAGAATTTAAAGATATGTTCTGAATCCAGCATTGCATATAGGCTTATTTTTCACTTGGAATTTTTGGAGAGGGTCCCATTACCAGATTGTAATACTCTTGAAAATACAATATGATTTATACTTTGTGCAGATTGTAGTTCTACATAAGCTGAGACTGGAACACTGCCTGAAGCGAAGAGGAGCATTATGGCACCTCTATGCACAAAGACAGGAGTCAAGGGCTGTTTTGAGTATGGGATTTGACCTAGTGTTCTGCAAATACTTATTATAATAACCTGATACTAAGTGTGATATTTTTATAATACCTTTTTAACTACATTGTCTAGCTTCTTTAGCCAAAACTAAAACCTCATCATGCAAAATACTGCATGTACATTTAAAAAAAAAATAAAATAAACCCCTCAATTTTCAAAGTAGTTCTGATACGAACAAAGGAGTTAAGCACTGGTCGCCATTTAAACGACAAAGAAACTAACCTTTGGGAACCTAGTAGCTGAGACTATATGTTGGTGACAGGAGGGAGGTGAAGTCTTTGTGGTCAGAAGTTACTGTTGGCATCACCAAATACAATGAGATTATAAAAGGTTGAAACCTTGGGTGAAGGGCATTGCAGTGATAGCTGTGATTCTGTTAATGGAACTGCGTGTGGTTTTGTTGCCAATTTTTGCAAGGTATTGGAGGAGTTTTATGAGTCTCTGAACCATGAAGCTCTTTCACAGTAGGAAAACATATTTTTTCTAGGAAGGAAGGAAGACAAAAGTCTACCTGCTGCCTGCAGAGTTATTAGCACCGTTAAGAACAGTTTCCAAAACCGAGGAAGAGCTATTTTTTCCCCTCTTTCATTAAATAATGTGTACATATGTTAGAAAAATTGAATTCCAATAATGTAAGTTAAACTGAATATTGTGAATTTTTTGTAAAGTTATTTCCTTGCTATATAAAAAAAAGTGACTCTGTTTATTTTTTTCTCTTCCCATCTGCTACTGTTTCAGAACTTTTTTAAAGCCTGCCCTTTTAAGTTTTTTTGGCACAGGCAACAGAATGTTGTGTGGTTTTGTTATTTCAGACAATAAAATTTAGAATACAGTATCTGGACTCTTGTTAAAAAAACAAACAAGCAAAAAAGCCCAAACAGAAACAACGAAAACCACTAAGCCTACACCCCCCC